GAACGGCACTTTTCCGGGGGCAGACAGGTGCGATCGGAAGGAAGCCTTTCTGGCGCGCGGCCGCGGCAATCGTTGAACGCGGGAGCGCGCAGTCGCCAAATGAAGCGCCCAATTTCGAACCCCGACGAGCCGCTCTGCGCGGAAGCAGGCCGCGGGCGGGGAGCGCCCCGGCGAAACGGTTTTGAATGGGCAGGGCGGTTGCGTTGGCGCGTTGCTCGCGTACCCTATTATTTCATGCAGTCCACGGCGCATGTCTCTGCGCGTGGCACCTGGGTTTGTTGGCCGCGTTTGCACCGCCGCAGGGCGCGCGGCAATCTGCGCGCCGCCGCGGTCGGCGGGGCGCTTGCGCGTTGCCCGAGCGGGGCGGGCTGATGCGCCGCCGCCCGCGCGCGAGCGTGGGATTCCGCGCGGCCGCCAGTTCGCGCGGCGCAGAGGCGGGGCGACGCGCGGAAATCTGCGACGCCGCGCCGCCGTCGCGCGCGCGATCGGGGGGGGCCAGCTCGAACGCGCGCGCTTGCGTCGCGCGCGAACTCATCCTGTACTGCGCCTGAAGGACGCGCGGGCCAGACTGTGCTGCGCGCGGCCGTCGGCCGGGGCGGCGCGTCGCGTCTGCGCTTGGCTCGCCGGGCGATGCGCAGCACCGAGTTGGCGGCCAGTCTGCCGCCTGCCCGCTCTCGTGCGAGCGTGCTTTCCCGCGGGCGGACCAGCGCCGCCGCGTCCGAAGTGCGCGTCGGTTGCTCGAGCCACGCACGGCCATTGCCTGCATTGCTCTCGCAATGCGCCTGAGCGGCGCCCGCGCCGCGAATGTTCAGCCATGCTACGGCGCGCCGGGAGGGCGCAGCGCCTGGGCCGCGACTGAGCAACGCTTGAAGTGCACCGGAAGTGCGCATGCACTATACTTGGCCTGCTCTTGGCACGCGCTAGCTCCATTCCAGGACGCGCTTAAGCTGCGCCTGGACTACGCATGAGTCGCGCCAGAACTACACTTGAATCACACCTGAGCCGCAACTGACCTACGCCTGCGCTACACCCGAACTACATTTGATATCCACTGCGCTGAGAAACGCTGGAACTACACTTGCACTACACTGGAGCTGCATGTGAACTATAGTTGACCTAGAACCGAAGTGCACTTGCACTACAATGACTACGCCATCAACGCACTTGGCCTATACCTGAACTACCCTTGAACCGCACTTGTACAACACTTGAATTACGCCTCAGCGTCACTTTTACCACACTCGAGCTACACCTGAACTACACTTGAGCTACAATAGCTACGCCTGGGCCACATTTGAACTACACCTGAAGTACACATGAGCCACACTCGAGCTACACATGGTCTACACATGAACTGCACACGAGCATCACCTCGAACTTCACCGGGACTACACTTGAACCACTCTTGAAATTCACGTGGACGACACTAGCATGGAGTTACACTTGAATTATACCTGAGCAACACTTGAACAGCCAGAATTGCATTTTGTCCACGCCTCAGCTACGCCAGAACTACAGTGAAACTATACTCGAACTATACTTCAGCTACACGTGAACCTGCCTGGGGTACATTCGAGCGACACTTGGCCCACACTTGATCTGCAGCGACTACGCCGGAACCACACTTGAGGCATACTTGAACTACACTCACTCTTGAGCCACACTTGAATCACATTCGGACTACAAGTAGACAACACTTGGTTTGCACGGACCACACAGTAACCGCACTTAGAATAAATACATTCGTGCCACTTTTGACTCGCATTTGACGTACACTTGAACTACATTTGACTTGCATTTGCACGATATGCGTTGCACATTTGAACGATAAGGAGCACACCTGGAACACACTCGCATTCCACTGCATCACATTCGGAATAACTTCGGCTTCTTATACCTGAGCTACAGATATACTATTTTCGGAGTGCAATGACAACGCTCGGTTCCCACTTGAACTACACCTGAATTACGCTTGCACCGCGCTTGACTTACATTAGAATATAACTGATACTGAACTACATCAAAGCTGCACTTGTTTTTATATGCGCTAGACATGAGCGACAATGGAATTTCAAGGGCGTTACCACACTCGAACTACACCCGAACTACACTTGATCCGCGCCCGAGCCACAATTGGACTACACCCAAAACATGCGAATTCCACATGGCCCACGCTTGAACTGCAAGGACTGCGCCCGAGCCGCGCGTGAACCACGCCCGATTTGCAGTTGAATCGCACTTGAACTGCGCTTGCATGTGGGCGTTGTTTCATTCATTGTTTTGCCCATCGGCGCCGGCCCTCGCCCCCTCCCCCCATGGAGTAGGTCGCGGCTGTTTTTGGCGCCTGCTTCGAGCAGGTAGCGCCTCTCCCTTACCGGCCGCGCTGCTGCAAACAGTCGGGCTAAGCAGAGGTCCGGAGCCAGACCCCGCCTCCTCCCCCCCGCTCCGCCCAGTGCCGAAACGCTGATTATAGATATATGTATATATACACATCTATCTATCGATCTATCTATCTATCTATATATCTATCTATCTATATATATATATATATTATCTATAAAAACCGATGCACCTGAGCCACGCTTGAGCTACGCTTGCGCATGGCCTGCGCCACGCTTGACCCACATTGAATTCCTTTCGAACCACGAACAACACCTGCACCAGGCTTGACATTTGCACGATCTGCAAGGACTACACCTGGATCAGACTTGCATTGCACCTGAACTGCATTTGAACTACGATTGATATACATGTGAACTACATTTCAACTACAATTGAACTGCACTCCTGCGACACTTGAAGTACACTTGCATTAGACTTGAGCTACACGGGCTAGACCTCGACCACCTTTGAACTACACAAACTACATTTGAGGTAGACTACGGTTGGAATACACGGGGGCCACATTTGATCTACACGTGGGCCGGGGCTACGCTTGAGCTACAACGGTGGTGCCTGAGACATACGCGGACTACTGTTGAACTACACCTGAAATACACTCGAGCTGCATTTAAACCACGCCCGAGCTACATGCGAAGTTGGATTTGAACCACACTTTGGCTTCACTTGGACTGCCCTTGAATTACACGGGCTACGCATCTACCGCGCTTGAGCTACGCCTGACCCGCGCTTGCGTTACACTTGACTTGAACTACATTTGACCTACTCTAGAACCGCATGCGAACTACGCTTGGGCTACACTTGAAATACCATGGCTACGCCTGAACCATACTCGAACTACGCCCGAACCAAACTCGAACAACTACTGGGCCATGCCGAAACCTCACGCGGGCTGCGCTTGAGCTACCCTTGAACTCTGCTTCGCTACCCTTGAACTACAAGGACTACCCTCCGCCACAGTCGAACTACACTTAATGGCTACAAATAATCACGCTCGAACTACACTTAGGCTTCACCTGGAACGCACCTGCATTAAACTTGAATTGCTGACTCCTCGGTTTCGTTAGAACCACATTGGAACTACACTTGAACTACAAGGGCTACCCCTGGGCCAAACTTGAACTAAGTTGAACCACGCTTGCGCGCGCAGACGGGCGACACTTGAGCGCGCGAGCCAAAGCCCAGGATTGCGCCAGGACGCCCCGTGCTGTGACTGCGCTCCACGCGCGGCACTGCGGTGTCTCCTGCCTCGCACGCGCGAGGCCGCGATGTTTCCTGCGCCGCCGTGACGCGCAAGGCCCAGCGCTTCGCCATCGCCCGCAATAGCGGCTAAGCTGGAAAAAGCAACGCGGAACCAATGCGCACCCGAAGTTGCGATTCTGTAGCAAGTTAACACGCGCGATATTTGCCATTGCGTCGGTATTCGTGCGCTCGTTTCTCGAACCGCCTCCCAGACCGCCCTGCAGCTTCTGCCGAGCCAGCTATCGCGCGCGCGCCCGCGACCTTCGGACGTTGCGCGCAACGTGCCACTTGCGGGTGCGACCAGAGATGGCGAGCATCCGATCACATGTCTTTTCCGCGCTTTCAGTTGCTTGTGCCATGTAGGACAGCGGCGATGGCGACACTTGGAGATCGCCGCTGCGCTGTGCAACGTGGAAGAAACACTCCCTACTATACGAACATCGGGAGTGTGGTTGTTTCTCTATGCCGCGCCTTGTTGTGTGTGGGCGTTTTGTACAATCGGATGGTCTGCTAGCTGAAGTGTCGCACCCCCCTGCTTGCCCAGATTCGCGCGTCCATTTTCACACCAAAAAGTGCACCAAAATCATCCGTTCGCCGACATGTGTTCGAGCGCGAGTGCAGCGCGCGTTTCGCCCATCGCGCGCTCCAGTTTCACGTAGCCGCCGTGCCAAACCTCATCCAGATCCATTTGCTGGTGGCGGGGGCGGAAAATCATCAAGTTTTGGTTCCAGTGCTCAGAATCTGGCTCTACGCCACCAGAGCTTGCTTCAAGTTGAAGGCATCGGCAACGCGAAACAAATGCGAACCCAAACGTCCGGCTATCAGAGTTTTTTTCGGAGCGCGGGCCCCCTGACCTCTCAACCCTTTCCTCAGGGTTAGCTTTTTTTCCCGAGTTGTTTTTGACGACCACAGGGCCCGACAACGGACCCCAGAGGCCGCGCGCGGCGACAGACCGTCCGCGATGATATATGTCGAGTCGCCGGATGCCCGGGGAAAGGATCGAGAGGGGACTGTTGCCTTCCTGGTCTCCCATATGCGTTCCGAGTAGATGCGCTCGGAAGATCTTGCCGCGTCGCCGATGCATTGGCGATGCGGCTCGATGTGGCCGCGCCGACGTCGCCAATGCATCGGCAACGCCGATGCATCTGCGATGCAGCGCCTTCCTCCGACCCCATTTATTCAGACCCCATATGGGGGGCTTCAAATCGTGGCATGTGGATTTTTTGGATCGGCACGCGCGCGAGGGAGAAGGGGTCCCGTGGCGATCCAAAAAGTCTCTTCGCACCTCCGAAAGATCATGCTTGTGCCGTAATATGTTCTTTTGTTTGCATGATCCCCCCCCTGCGCGCCATCCCGAGACGATGACCTGGATGCAGCCGGCCCTGTCGGGAACGCTGCCGCAGGCGGGCTCTCTGCGCGCGCGCGCGGCTGTCTTGGGCAATGTTGGGGCTACCGTATTTCGCGTGGCTGGCACGGGCCACATTCAAGCTTGGTGCTGGGTGGGGGCGCGCGGTGGCCCAGCATTGTTTTTGGCGACCTGGAAGGGGGGCAGGAGGTTCGAGGTTTCGGGGTCGAGAATTTTGGTGGGGATTTTCCCAGCCCGGGACCGTCAAAAACGGATCCGTGGTGACAAGCTTCACCAGACGGGCTTTGGGGGGTCCAGGGACTGATTTGAACGGGTTTGCCCGTATTTCCCCTTCCTGATCGATTGTCTCAGGGCCCATCCAGTTCAAACCGCCGGGCAGCCTCCAAATTGAAACCAGTCTGGGTCGCACTAGGAGTAGAGCGGGCGACGAGCATCCTTCAGATGTTCACTTGCCGTTTCCTTCTCGGTCCGTCCTGCAACCCTCCTGGTGGATGCTTGAAGCCTTAGTGGTCAATCTAGAGGCCTCTTTGCGGCCGTCCTGAACCGTCTTCTGGCCCACATTGGGCCTTCCTGGGTTGCACTCGGGCCTTGCCGCCGTTCACAGGGACACCCTTTCGGCCCTGCGGGAGCCCGGGGCACATTCCGACCAGCCAAGAGGCAGAGGGGATCTTACCTTGTTCCCCCCCCCGCCGCAGGTCGGCCTCCTTGTATTTAGACGGCAGAAGAGGAGGGAGCATCTTCGGATACATACACAACAGTAACGGACGATCGTCGGACCAAGGCAAGATTTTTTCCACTTGCCTCATGGATTTGACGGCCCCTTTCCGAATGTGTGTTGTGCGCGCTTTTCGCATGTCCGTAGCCACTGTGGCTGAAGATCAAGTTGCCTTACAGCTGGCTGCAGGTGTGGCAGCCCGAAGGCTGCCCCCAGCCATGGCCACGCAAGTCTCTATTCCTGCAGGTTGCTCTGCAGGCTTTGAGTGCAGCCACACAGGAGCAGTCGAAGCAGTATCTCCTGATGGACATGTGAAGGCAGCTGGTGTTTGCGCTCGGGATGGCTGGCGCCTTCTTGCCATCAACGGCGAATCAGTTGAGGAAGCCACACTCCACGATGCTCTTCAAAACGTTCACAGGAGTGGAAAGGACTATGAGCTCACTTTCGTACAGCCAATGTCTCAGCCACTGCTTGGTACAGGAATTCCACTTCTGGGATGCCAGGCTGGCGTTCCACACTTGTACGTGTTGCCCGCTTCACGTGAGTCATGTGGAACGGTTCTCTTGCTGCATGGTTCAGGGCACACCGATTGGCTAGGCAACCAAGATCCAACAGGCACGCCGACAGAAGGTGGTGTCACTGAGATGGCCTTCGAATTCAGAAAGCAGGGTTTTACATCAGTGGTGTTGGATTCTTACGCTGCAGGCAGGCGACAGGGGAAAGACTTCAAAACCAGCATGCGAGTCGATGACATCATGGCAGCCTTGCAGTACGTGAGAGATGCTGGTTTGCCCGGGCCCATCCACATCTATGGTAAGTCGAATGGTGGCTATTCGGTGGCCATGTTCTTGGAGCTACCTGTGAGCAAAGCTGAAGCAAGCCGAAAGGACAAAGCAAAGGAGCTGGCAGAAAGCCTTGCAAGTGTGATCATCCAGTGCCCATACCTCAGCCAAGAAAGAGATGTTGAGAGGCTGCGCATGGTTGCGGAGGAGAGTGAAGTGAATCTACCCAATGTGTTGTTTTTGCTTGCAGCAGAAGACAGAATGCTCACCGACCACAAGCAGCCGATGAACGTTGGAGTGAAGGCTGCGGAAGCAATGGCTGGACAACTGGTCACAAAATGGCAGGAGCCTGTCATGAAGGGTCGTGAGCTTCTGTCGAATTGCAGCATTCAGCAAGGTGGAGGATCTGCAACGGGTCGGCCGTTTGTCGAGGTCCGTGTGTACAGTGACATTGGACACACATTCGTTGCAGACGCAGAAGGACAACCCATCTCCGATGGTTCCTGCACGCCGGTGGTGCAGCATGCACTGCGTGCAACTGTTTCGTGGATGTCGTGGCAAACCCAAAGGCCGGTCGTGACTGCATGAGTTCTAATTGATGCTCCCGTCTCACCCACCATTCACAGCCAACAGCTAGATGCTGTGTAATACATGCTGCGTCGTCAGTGTTATTTGGGTCATGCTCTAGAATGTTATTCGTGTCTAGATGAGAGTGGCAACAGTCCAGTCTGACGCTGTGCAGTTCCCTGCGCCGCCGACATGCTTTACTTTCGTCGGGTTCATACAATTGCCCACGTTGGGAATCCGTGCTTGCGCATGTGTTCCTGCTAATATCAGATTTGCACATTGTTGACCCTTCGCTGATCCCCACCAGAAGCGATCCCAGACGGCTTCTTGGGGCCATCTCTGGCACCCGCATGCGGGGCGATGAGGAAGAGGAGGCGGACGACAAGGAGTACCAGGTGTAGGGAGGAGGCACGAGAAGGAGAAAGAAGAGTAGGGAGGAGGAGGATGAACAAGTGGAGGAGGAGGAGAGGCAAGAAGGAAACATGAGCAGGAGGAGGAGGAGGAGGAGGAGGAACGAGGAGGAGGCAGAGGGGAGTCGAACGAGAAAGGGACGAGAAGGAGGAGTATGAGTATGAGTATGACCATAAGACAAAGTCTTGTGATTAAGCCCTCTCCCCAGCTCAGAAGACGGACGAGACGAGGAAGCCCCACAGCACGAACCATACGAAATACATGAACTGACAAACTGAGAATTGGGGGTGGAACTCCCGATGCTTTTCCGTGGTCGTGTCGTTTCGGAGGCTGAGCGCGGCATCGCTTCCGACGGGCGGGCCGTTAAGGCGAAGTCGGACGACGGCTTCTGAAATCACTCGGTTTTCAACCGTCGACTGTATGATTTCGCTAGCGCCTGCATCGCCGCCACACCGACATCACCGTCATTACCATTATCACAACAACCACAACATTGGCTCTTTGACGGGGCCGAAAATTGCATTTACGATAAAACGGTACAGCTGGATTCTTGGTTTGGGGAAATCTGAGATTTCAGCTTTTGTTGATTTTGATGTTTCCCGATAGATGAATGTGGCAAACATGCGGCGACGGCGGCGACGATTCACACACACACACACCGCAAGCACGTCCACGCATCGATTTGGGTTTGAGCTCTTTCGGGTGTCTCGTAGATTCATTTGGGGGGTCCTCTGGAGGTCTTCGGAAGCGACAGATACGCCTCAATAATCCTACTTCTCGTCGGTGCAGCCAAACGTAAAACACAGTCTGGGGGATAATCGTAGCTAGGTTGAGGCCTGGGTTGCTTCGTCTTGGGCTTCTGCAGGGGGATGGGAGGGGAGTAGAGTGTCACGTCCGCCCAAAGCTTTTTACTGCTCAAGGGTGTTGGAGCACATGCCAGCCTCATGTTTTGTTAACAAGCGGTTGGTCGGTCTCATCCGCAAGCATGGCGCACTTCTCTCGGATGGTAGCATTGCTCTGACCCGCACATCAATTGGGAAATTTATTTCGGAAGTTGGCAAAACATTTGGATACAACGGGCTGGGTTATATTCAACTTGATGTGTGGAGGCACCCACGCGTTCTGGAACATCGAATTGTTTGTGCAGACAACGCTGAGCGTTTCAGACACGATGTGCTACCTTTTCTGATGTCTCAAGTTGGCGTGCCTGAGTTTTACAGCTGGGAATCGATCGTCGCCGGCCTGTCCGTCAGGGTCCCTGCAGCCCCGGCGTCGCCCGCGAGAGCACGCGCGGCAGACGCCGGCGCCATTGTCCCTGTAGCAAATGGCGCCCATGCGGCCGCAGGCACGGTGGCGCTGCAGCTTGCTGGTTTGAGCGCCGAAGAGTTGGTTCAGCGGGTTGTGATTGCAGAGAGTCGTCTTGCTCTGGTCACTCGGCGGGTAGCTGCCAAATCTGTTGAGCTGAGCAATGCTAATCGACGGTGTCTGCGTTGGAAACGGCAGGCGCAATCAAGCACGTCAGGACTCACTAGAAAACGGAAGGTGGCTCGTGGTGACGATCTCGACCCGACCGCGTCGGAGCCTTTCGCCAGACCAGTGAAACGTGGGAAGCAGGAGCGTTTTTTGTCTACTCGTGGTGCCTATTGCTTGGTTGTACGACGCTGTCTCGGCAACGTGTCGGCACAAGCGCTGGGGTTGGTAACTATGACGGATATTTCTCACAAGAGCGTGTGCAAGTGGGAAGTACGTTTCCGAGCTGCGTTGATAATGTCATCGAGGCGATTTCATGCACTTTGTCGTACTCGTTTGATGTGCGACCCCATCCCTGCGGCTGGCTGGCGAATGCAGTTGCACGTTCTCAGGGGAGACGCAACAAACTCGGCCGTATGGCAGAAATGCCAGCTTCGCGTCGCCCAGGTCAGCTCCACCTACGTATGCAACCCCATCAATCCGCACATGTCCTGGGAGCACGTGCAGGAGCTTGCGCAGAGCCGCGCGACCATCTGCGACGTGCAGGTCTGCACGCAGAAAGACTCTGCTGGGACGTGCGCTGTCGGGGCCAAGCAGCTCGAGTCCATCGGGGCGCCACTGTGGCTCCCTGGCACAGCTAAACTAGCTGCTAAACTGCGAGGGTGGATTTGGCTGGAAGGAGGGGGGTCTGGGGAGGCGAGGGGGAGGATGAGGTGGGATGAGGAGGAGGCGGAGGATGAGGAAGCGGAGGAGGATTTGCAGGACCCCCTCCCCGCACCGCATGATGCAAATCTGTTTCGATCCAGGGCCCCTGCGTAACTTCAAATATTTGGGACACGCTAAACTATCCTGAGTATCCTGTAGGGTCAGGGTTCCAAGGGCCCCAAGGGTCCAAGGATTCGATGCATTCGATTTGCTTTCAGATGTCCACCGCCAAGGGGGAGTCCAAGGGTCCCAGGGTCCAAACGCCGTGCTCTCAGATGCCCCCTCCCTGGCCCCTCCCTTGCCCTAGAGGTGCAGTGCGACTGGCGCGCTCGCGCTGGAGGACGCGGCCGCCGCGCCCGGGCAGCGCGCGGAGCAGCTGGTGGCCAG